TTCCACATTAATCCAGTGGAAATGAAAAAGTTTCGATGCTCGACATTATTTCACATTTAAATCAAAAGCTCACAGCTTCAGGTCACGAGTCTGTATGAAACTTAAACTGGTTCACTGACATCGTGTTTCTTGATGCGACATGAGATCAGGTGAAAATACGTGATTATCGAGAATAAATCAGTAGTAACGATGTAATGTTAGCATGCTAGCGTTAGCATCGGCAGGTGTAACTAGTTTTTAATGTTGTTGTGAAAACAATTATTAAACATTATTCTCTGCGCCAGTAGTTACGTCATTGTCGCAGGATTATGATGTGCAACAACACCGCCTGTCGGTGGTAATTTTTAAATATTTATTTGACTTAGTGTTAATACTTTTAGGTCAAAAGAAGTAATTATATGAACTTGTCATGTTTTACTGCCACAACTCACAGATCTTTGTCAAACAAACGGCATCAGAAATAGTCCGGGGAGGTTTGTCATAAAACTGACTGTAAATGACTGAGAGGCTGTTCAAGTCCGTCTGTGAAAATGACACCAAACATGATGGATCGTGATGGAGGTGGATCATGATGGTGGATCGTGGACTGTGATCATGGACCATAGGTCCTGATGGTGTCAGCTGATGGTGGACCATGATCATAACAAGAGATCTTGATACACAACATGTCTCCTCATCTTCTACTATCAGTAACTCCTCAGTTCATGTGTCTGCTCCTTCATCTCTATCAGACAAGTCCTCATGTAGAAATACTTTAAACAGAAAGTTACAAACTGTTTCTTCTAATTTCCTGTTCTAGTGTCAGACTCAGTTTGTGACATCATGAATCCAGGAAGTGTTTTGATTGACAGTAGTACTGATGTTGTACTGATGTAGTACTGATGTAGCCTCAACATTGTACTGCCTTATCAACGATGTAGAATTAAAGGAGTACTGTGTGTTGCAGGAGGACATGGCTTCCCCTGATCTGAAGGTCCTAGTTACCGGGGCAACAGGTCTGTTAGGTCGAGCTGTGTGCAGAGAATTTGAGAACAGCAGCTGGTTGGTCATTGGGACTGGATACAGGAGAGCCAGGCCCCGCCTCCTCCGCTGTGACCTCACCGACGAGGACGCCATCAGACAACTCCTGCACAAGTACAAGGTGAACAGATGACTACCTGTCTGTCTGCACCTGTCTGTCTGTCTGCATCTGTCTATTATTTTATCTGAACTGTCTCTCTCTCAGCCTGATGTGATCGTCCACTGTGCCGCAGAGAGACGTCCAGATGTTGTAGAGAGACACACGGATGCAGCTGTTAACCTCAATGTAAACGCCACGAGCACGCTCGCCAAGGAGGCAGGTCAGCGATCACAAGACACGTGTCAGCAATAACATGTGTTTCCACGTTACATATGTTGAACATGTATGTCATGTGTGCAGCTGCATGTGGAGCGTTCTTCCTCTACATCAGCAGCGACTACGTTTTTGACGGACGGAATCCTCCGTACGGAGAAGACGACGTCCCGAACCCACTCAACATCTACGGACGAACAAAACTGGAGGGAGAGAGAGAAGCACTGAGGCACTGTCCAGGTACTGTCCTGTCTGTCTGTCAGTTTTTTCTACTGTCTGTCTCCCTCTCCTCACCTGTCTGTCTCTCAGGTGCGGTGGTGCTCAGGGTGCCCGTTCTGTTCGGGGAGGTGGAGTCAGTGATGGAGAGCGCCGTCACATCGCTGTGGATCAAAGTTCAGGAGGCGACAGAGAGCTGCACCCTGGATCACTGCCAGCAGAGGTTTCCCACGGACACCCGAGATGTCGCTGCCGTCTGCAGGAAGCTGTCTGAGAGAGCGAGACAGGTGACTATCAGAGAGAGAGAGAGCTGGGTAACTTTCAGGACCTGTCTGTCTCACCACCTGTCTGTCTTTCAGGACCCGTCTGTCCGAGGAATCTTTCACTTCTCATCTAACGAGCAGATGACCAAATATGAGATGGGCGTGGCCATTGCTCAGGCCTTCCAGCTGCCTTCCAATCACCTGATTCCTGTAAATATGTTCATCAATATGTTTATTGATAAAGTTTATTTCAACATTATTACATTAGTTCAAGTGTTTGCAAGAGTTGTAGTTTTAATAACTTTTAGTGTTTATCGTTTCATGTGGTATTGACATGTATTTACGTGTGTTTGTGTGTATATGTGTGTGTTTTTGCGTTTGTGTATACGTGTATAGTTGACGGAGCAGCCCGCCTCCTCCTCAGCTCTTCGTCCAATCAACAGTCGTCTGAACTGTTCTCGTCTTCAGCTGCTGAATCTGAACGTGGAGCCGCGACCTTTCACCTCCGCTATCAGTGACTGTCTGTGGCCGTTCACACCCGACAAACACTGGAGACAGACAGTTTTCCACTGAGAGACAGACAGTAATGAGTTTCCAGGTTCATATTGAAACAGAACCAGTGTGAGTCCAGATTGTATCAATGTGAACAGATTGAACAACATTTTATTTCACTTGGAACAATCTCAAAACTTTAACATAAACCACAGGAAGTGACTCTGACTGTAGATCTGTGTCCGTCATCTTTGTTTGCAGCTGCAGGTGTGAAACAGCACAACTATGACCTGACGCGCGCATGCACACACACACACACACATACAACTTGACAAAATAAAAGTCTCTTTTCCTCCACAGCTTTCTTTCCACCTGTTTTATTTACTCCACTTGTCTCTTGCTTCCACTGTGTTTTTCCTGCTCTCTGCTGCAGTGGTTTAAGTAGCATTACACAATAAAATAAAATGACAACCTTGTATTTGTTTATACTGTATTTATGACATGTTATAAATATCAGGATGTTTTTCTGATCAATGATCAATAATATTCAGATCAGATTAACGATGTAGTAGATTCATTTTCCAGCTCAATGATTCTGAAAGTTAAATCATCTTGTTGTTATCATATATTTGACGACGACATGCTTGTCTCTATGTTACAACAGCTCAAAAAAAACTAAGACAACAGTTAAATGACACATCAGATTTTAATGAATGATTCAAGTGTAAAATCTTTACTGATGAACATTGTAGAATTAGTTGAGAACAAAATGACATAACAACGATCAAAGGAAACTAAAACCATCAACCCAGTGAGGCTGGATTCAAACCTGAACATCCCAGTAACAAACTGAAACCACCGGCTGATCCAACGTGTGTATCAAGTCATCATGTGACTCAGTGAGTGTGGCCTCCTGGTGCCCATAAGTTTCCAACACATGATGCTCCTGATGAGTCGGAGGGTGGAGTCCTCGGGGATCTCCTCCCAGACCTAGATCATCACTGAGCTCCTGGACAGTCTGTGGACGGATGCACCGATACATAACGTCCAATAGGTGCTCAACTGGATTTAGGTCAGAGAAACGTGAGGGTCAGTCACTGGCATCAAGACCTGTCATCCAGGAACTGTTGACACTCCGGCCACATGAGGCAGTGTCCTGCACCAGGAGGAACCCAATCCTATGATGTATGTATATATATATATGTGTGTTTATATATTGTGT